GACCTGCCCGGGGCTGCAGCTGCTGCAGGGAGCCGGAGGAGATGGGCACGTCTGGGCGGCGGATCCTTTGTTTTGCCACCACGACGGGGGCGGGGGCAAGCGCTGACGCCCACGGAGCAGGAGACAGGGCCGGGGAGCTGGAGGCTGGGCCCGGGGGCCGAGACCCGCGAGATGGGAGCCGGGCTGGGGGCACCGAGCTCGGGGGACGGGAAGCCGGGCCAGGGAGCGGGAGACGGGGCCGGACACTCGGAGCTTGGGGGGCGGGAGGTACCGGGCCCGGGACACCGAGCTCGGAGGGCGGGAGGCCTGGCGGCCGGGCCAGGGACCTAGGAGCGTGGAACTGGAAGAGGGAGGCAGCCGGATGCTGGAAAAGCGACGCCGAAGACCCAGGCGTGGATCGGGAAGGGAGGAGCGGGCGGCGGCCGGGTGCTGACCGCGAGGCACTGGCCCTCGGGGCTCATCCTCCCTTTATTGGACGAGGGTGTTTGGTCTTTGCTGCCTTCTGTGTCTGGAGCCCAGATTTTCTCGTATCGACTGTGTGGTTTAATTCTTATAGAGAGCTAATTCGAAGCGTTAAACGCTAATTGTATAATAAATCCTTCCAGCTCATACCTGTGGCTGTGTATCCAAAACCAAAGTCGGGTGTGAGCAGCCTTGAAATCCCTCAGGCCATGTTGAATTAGAGTGCTTTTCTCACACTTGTCGCTCTTGTTTTCAGTGGGTCTGCTTGAGCAGTAAGTGGGACCCAAGCAGGAAACCAGAAACCATCCCTCTCAGCTCTATGTCGCCCACCCCCTTCCCCATTTAGTCACCACGCCTTGTCGACCTCCACAGTGTCTGCCAGATCTGTCCACTCTCTCCATCTCTGACGTCCTACGCACTGGGCTCTCACCCGACCACAGCAGCCTTTGCCTCCCCACTTCCAGTACATTCTTGACACACAGGCAGAGGGAAAGCGGTCCTAGGGGAAACCCAGCCCTTGACTGGTTAGCAGCCCCTCACTGGCTGGGTCCTGAGAACCCTCCCCTGCCTTATCTTCATTTTGGCACGGGTTCACCTCATACCTGTTCTCTGGCTGAAACACTTTTGCGTTCCCTTTCTGACCCCATCACATGTGCTTAGAATAGGAGCCCCTACTTACGTTTCTGCTCTCATTACACAGTTCAAGGGACATGTCATATCCTTTGCAGTTGCTTGTTCGCTTTCTTCCCTACCAGATGGTAAGCAGATGCCATGAGGGACTAACTTTATCATGGTGCACCGCATTGTCTTTCCCCACATCCAGGGCCTGGCACAAGTGAATGCCCATCCGTTTGTGTTTTTACTATAGTAGTATTCTTTTTAATAACTATGCCTTATCTAGAAAAAGTAAATCAGTTTTAGGATTATTTAGCAAATTATAATTAAAATGTGGATTAGAAAAGAATGGTAGAGGTGAAATATGGAGTCCCTGTAACAGTAGGAACATGCATGGTAGCAGGAGGGGCTAAGCAAGGTGGTTAGACCAGCCTGTATGAAAATGTGCTCAGCCACTTTGTGCTGTGGTGGTCTCTGAAAATGACATGTGAGGCTTAAATCATCCCCATCACAACGTGATGTTGGAGCTTTGGTTTTGCTTTGCTCTTTTGCAAAAGAAGGCTTCTGAAAGTGAAAATGTGTTCTAATGAATGAATGAACAATTTATTGGAGTGTGGTGATAAAACCTGTTCAAAGTAAAAGAAATGAAACATTGCACTTAGTTGAATCAGATTTGCTTTTGCTATCCTGAAAAAAGGCCTTGCCTCCTGCCATTTGAAGAGACTGGCATCTTACCTGATACAGGCATACAATGCTGCTTTACTGTTTTGCTTTCAAACCAATTTAACACAGTCTCCTATTGCTTCATCCACCTTTTACTGTTACAAAGCAATCTTTATTTTCATCAATGACATTACACTGATTCTGGTGCTTAGTGTTATTAAGAGATAGTTCTCAAGCCCAAGATAGGAAGCACTGGTATTTGGGCCTTAAATAAAATGTGGGAATTCTTAGATTTACGTAATGTTAGTTATTTCACTGCATGTTTTGTTCTTGCCTTCACATATTGCCTATAGAGCTTCTGCATTATGGTAGAGTAAGATTAAGTTATCTGGTAAGTATTGAACACAGTCTGGCACCTGCCTTGTTTGTTGAGCCACATATAAATCCCATTGAACACTGATATTAAATATAAGCCCTGAATAAGGATAGGGTCTTTGTATCTTCCACTGCTCTATATGTTAAGAGTCTAATACAGCATTCCGCACACAGTAGTGTTCAGTAAATTATTAATGGTGCAAATACCAAATGAATAAATGCTGCTTACTCTGACTTTTGACAGTTTCAAACCTTCTGCAGGCAGGATTTCTTTAATCAAGTGTTTTTAAATCCGGATCTAATTCTATAAAGCAGTGGTTCTCAGTGGGAGTGATGAGGCATTATCGGTTATCTGTAATTTTTATAAAAGGCATCCAAGATCCTCCATTCTGCACTTACTTCATACAAAATATTTAGGTCTGCAAGAACTTTCCCATTTTCTCCCTTTATCATCTTAGGACTTCATTTGGAAGAGGGGAATACAGACCCCTTACATATAGTAAGTACTTTGTTCTCTCTGACTTGTGGCATAAACTCGGAGGCTTTGAATAGTGGGGAATGTTCTAGTCTGTCTTCCTGGTTATGTGGCCCATGCCAGAGAAAAGGAAAGGATGGTTTATTTGTTCATATGGCACAACTGAACTTAGTTTATTCTGTATTTAAGTTTACTTTCCTGTTTGCTTGTTTTTCTAATAAATATTAAAAGATTGACTTCACCAGGCCCAGTGACAGTAACCAGTTTGGTAATTCTTATATGTCCCCGAAGAAATTCAGAGACCAAATGGGAAAAGATTTCAATAAAACTTCTATACATTACAGGAAAAGTTTTTTCTTATCCAAACTATTGTGAAACAGATCTTCTTTCTGTTTCATTTACTAAATCTGAAAATGTGACTGCTTTTGAGACTGTCCTCTGATAGGTAATAAATGTAACCCTGATCTTTTTCAAATTGTTTGACAGAAGTATAGTCTTCCCAGAAGTCATACTGGAAATGCTTCACCTTTCTTTTAGAGGCAAATAGAGATAGAGAAAATGTGTCTTAATGACTTATACTGAATACTGAACATGAAACTGGTTATTTTACTTTTAGAAATAAATTACCCTGTGACATCAGAAGTGCCATAATCATTACTGCATTTTTTGCATTAATTAGAATTAAGTGCACTATATGCTATTTTGGAATCTCTGCAGTCAGTTTCTATCATGTTATTTATGCTCTTTATGTCATCTTAATTAGAGCTTCTGAGATTGTGGATTTTTGTTTCCTTCCTTGAAATTTAGTAGTGTCACTCCTGAATGGTATTAAGTGGCCTATAGAGTAGTGGGCACTGCTTTCTTGAGTCAGACAGATCCTAGTTTGAATGCTGGCTCTGTCACTTAAAAGTTCCTTAACTCTCTAAGCCTCAATCAACTGAACTATAAAATGGGGATCATTATGCTTCAGAGTGTCATCGAGAGGACTAACTGGAAATACCTATGAACCTTTTTGCTCAGGGTCTAGCTATATGAGCCCG